TTCCCCCTCCGCCCTCTGCCACGCCTCAGACCGCAAATAATGACAACGCAATTGGGGCCGCTCTGTGCGAGGCACAATCACGGTGTCTGCGGGGCCTAAGTCACGCACTCGCGCCTGGAAAAGGAGCAACAAGAAAAAGAAACAGGAAAAATGATGCGTGAAGATCGTGGTAGATAAGTCTTTGGGATTTGTTGTGTTTTTTTTTTCTTCACACTGCCGCCGCCTATCTGTGCTCTCCGCTATCCATATTTTTTCCGCACACATCGCGCTCTCTCTCTCGCTCAGTTCATATTTTTCTCGCCTCCACTATACGTGTCGCCGGTGTAAAAGATCCCCACCATATTCTATACGGCCCGTTCTATACATTAAAATCCCGCAGGGAAGGTGGTTAAGTGGTCCTTAATGTCCGCATAGCTCGGGCCGGAGTGGCTAGCCCGGTCAGGACCGGCCCTTTGGGTCCGCAGGCGGCGGCCCAGGGCTAAGGGTGACCAGGGGGCAGGGGCCAGGGGCCAGGCCCTTCGAAAATTACTGCATCGCCGCGACGTCAGCCATGTAAAATATCGGCCCGGTCGGTCCGTGGCCCACACAGGGTTGGGCTGGAAAGAGAGAGAGAGAGAGACAGACGCACAGCGCGGAGCAAGATGGAGAGGGTTAAACGCGGTAATCGTGAGGTGGGCCGGGCCGTTGATGGCGGGTATGGTTATTGTTGGCCCTTTCTATAATTTGGCGATCGGGGTGGGTGCCCGTGCTCGACGCGTGAGGCTCGAGTTTGCTTGGCAATGTTTTCGGTTTTTCACGTGATATTCCCCCCTTTTTTCAGACCCGCATCCGGTTGTAATGGCGAGGGAAAAGGACAGCTGCATATGTTGTTGTTGTGGCACCTCTCCAAGCCTCAGAGCGCTTTAAAGCGTCTAAAACGTGTGGGGCGTAATTCAGTGTAATGGATGCGAAATCTGCCGGACTTTGGAAGATAAACTGCTTGTGGGGTCTGGCCTTTCTCCAACTCCCGTATCTCAAGCGTTTTGCTAGTAAACGTAATTATTTTTTCCAGTAAAAAGGATTTTTTAAGAAACGCTTATTTATTGTAATTGAAGGCTATTTTCCTTGCAGTTGCTTTTACTCGGGAGGCAGAATCTTCGTTTACCACCCTTATTTTCTTTAGTTTGACGCGCAAGCCATCTGGTCTTTTTTTGGTCATTTCGTTTCCTACAGTGCCTCGCTGTACGTGGCGTGCGCGACGGTAACGCCATAACGAGATTCGCCTGCTTCACCTCGATTACCCTGCTACAAACGTATTGTACTTCGTAGTTTTTTATTTTATGGTATGGTTCAGGTCTCAGATAGCTGCGATCTGTTTCAGAGACATAACCCTTTCCTCCAAGTTCGTCCTTTGCTGCCCTTGGGCGGAGAAGCCGCCCCCGCCACCTGTCATTGGGAAGACAAAAGCAAGGGAAGAAAGTCCCTCCCCTTCTGCGCACCTTCCTACCTGGGACCCACACCTGTCCCATCAAACACACACACACACCCACAAGCACACGCACGCCCAGATCACGCACACACACACGCACAGGGCAGTGATTTGCGGAGCTCCACATCCCGTGCGGCGTGCGTGCGTGCAAAAGCCCTCCCGAAATCAGAAGCAAAAAAAAAAAAAGACGGGGGACGGGGGGCTGTATGTAAAGACCATAGGAAGTTGTCCAGGTGTGCTGTGGTTGGTTTTTAGTTGTGGTTTTTTGCGGCTTCATTGGCCGAGAACAATGAGTATGCAGCATTATTGCTCGGCACTACTACTATTGTGGCAAGAAATTTGGGAAATTATAGGAGGATAAAAATCCCGACTGTTTAGTCCAACTCGCGTCGGACGCCTTACATTTTATTCCGGGTGTTTGAACCTCGGTCAGCCGGCGGCGCCGCCGGCCGCGATGTCACCTTGCATAACGAGCTGGAGCGCAGCCGGGCCGGGCCGGGCCTGGACGTGACTCCCGTTTCGTAACGCCCGCCACAAACGAACCTACAAACAAACTGTAACAAACGGTCCGACAAAAGGAAGGGAAGGACCGGCAGAATCTGTTCCGGAGCGGAGTTGCTGAGAAGGGGGCGCCCCGCGCGCGCCGCGCCTGCCACGGCCCGAGGGTCACCTTGGGAGGAGCAGGGCGGAGAGCGAGAGGAGGAAGAGGAGGAGGAGGATGAGGATGAGGATGGAGGAGAGGAGATAATACGATTCAAGATGGCGGCGCTGTGCAGAATGCTCGGCGCTGCCTTACCTGGCGAGCGGGGGGCTCTTCTTATTTTTGCGATGCTGTGTGTGCAGCGCCGGGCCTGGGGTACCGGCATGACGGCGCACTCTGAGGGAACGAGTGAGACAGGCAGACACGGACAGACAGACAGACAGACAGACAGACAGACAGACAGAGACTGAAGGGATGCAACGAAGGGAGCAGCACAGAAAGGAAGGGCTGTTCGCCAGGGTGGCAGTAGTATTACATTAATTGTAGTACAAATACTTCTGTCTGGTCGCTCTGATGAAACTGGCCAATGACTGATGTATGATCTAATGTCATAACACAACAAGAATGCTTCCGGCCTTGCTGTTTATTTTCGCTGGGGAGCTGTACTGTACGTACCTGTGTGTGTGTGTACACGGGTAGCCGCGGGTACCGGCGGGTACCGCTGCACGACGACCAGCGGATTGCACGAGACACACCGCCACGCCCCGCCTTCTGAGAACAGCTCTCTAGCGAGCGGTGTGGCCGGGCTCCGCTCTATGCCCCCCCCCCCCTCTCTCTCTCCCTCTCTCTCTCTCTACCTCTCCCTCTCTTTGTCTCTCTCACGGGCCCAAACTCTCCCGCTCTCCGCGCGCCCCTCTCGCTCTCCCAAGTTCAAGGTGACCGTTGCAGCTGCCACACCTGCACAGCGGCGGCGGCTCGTCGTGGCGGAGCACGTGGCTCTGCCGTCTGTCACTTTTTATTTCCCACTCCCTTGTTCTTTTTTCCTTTTCCTTTCCCCTCTCATTTCGGCGTCTTCCGTTTTTTGTCTTTGGAATTCGCGCTTCCGGAGCAGCGAACCATGATTGGTCTGTCGCCGCGTGTGATCTTGTCGGCCTCCCGCTTGCGCCTGGATCTCTGGTTACCGCCCCTGCCACCGAAAAGTTTAAATATTTTCCATTCTCGCAGTGCGTTTAGAGAGCGTTGGGCGATGATTTTTCATACTTGGCGGATGGCCTTCATTCATTCGCGGTCTGGAAGATGATGTGCCCGATCGGCCGGCACGCCCCGCCGTCTGCTCGCCAATGACTGATGATGACAACCGATTTGGATTTGAATACACGGCTCACGACGCGCCGCGCCGCGTTCCCGACAGCACTTTGTCTTTCTGCTCCTGGAGACCTGAACGCGGGGCGCGGCGAAGGCGCTATCCCCTCGAGTGCACTCTAAAAGTAGTTACTAAGCCAATTTTGTAGTAAAAAGTTCACAGTGTGACGGTCGAGTTAATGGGAACAAATTCTTGGCATCACTAATTTCAAGTACTGTATGACACGCTCTCGACGTGTGGGCGTTTTTCGTAAGGTCAAAGCATAAGGTGGCCAATTGCTTGCATCCTGTTGCCTGATATTTTTTTTTTCTCTTTCTCTCTTTTCCATTTCGGACTCTTTTGTCCCCGAGTACGTAACGAAAGGCGACGACTGTCTAACGGGAGTTTGTTATTCTTTTGTTTCAGGTAAGAGCCTAATCCCGCGGCTGCAGTCTATCTCGCGTTCGTTGGGCCCGTCTGGTGAGGCACCCTCTCTATACACGGCTGGCTGGCTGGCGCTGGGCGTGGCGTGGCGTGGCGTACCACCGCCGCGGGGGCGGGG